GGAGCTTGTCGCGCGTCTAGCCAAGGAGAAAAATGTTGACCCGGAAAGAATAAGACACCAGTTGCTTGTGTCGAAGCGGCTTGGCGGCGATTTCGGCGTCGATAATGATCTTGCCCCTCTGTTGGCCGAAGAAGAAGTTTTGAAGAAACGCCGTGTTGCGCCTGAGCGCGCGAAGAGTTATGCTGAGCGGTTGCCGAAGGCGCGACGGACGGAGAAACTCGCGCGTGTTACGGCGTACTGTACGGCTCAGGCGTATAAGATGGGATCTCTTGCTGCTTTTGTTAAGGAGCAGCATGGTGGGCGGACGAAGCTTTATGATGATTGTCTCTACACCGCGTACCATCTTCCTCTTTTGCCGGGCCATGATGGGTACCGTCTGCGGAGTAGCCCTGTGTTGAAATACCCAGGAGGAAAGTCGCTGTTGGACGAGGAGATTGAACGAAATGAACTTCGCGATTATCATGATGAATATATGCTCGAGACGGAGGAACATTCGGTTGGTGGACACAACCGTCCAGAGGATGAGCACCATTATGAAGGGTCGCCGGCCCACCCTGAGAGTCATGATCCCCGGGAGGGAAATCGGGAGCAATTCTTGAACCGCATCTCCGAAGAAGTTCATGACCACCTCCCCAATGACCATGAGCATGCTGTCAGTTCCGGCGAAAGTGTCGATGGCTTGCAGCATATCCCGCCACTCCCGCAACCAGACAGCAATGAAGGAATCCGACAATCCTCGCCTGAACCTGCATTCCGTCGCCGAAGGCACAGCACGGATGATAGTCACGCTTTGATTCGAGACCGTCCCTCTCCGCCACTGACCACACCCGCCTCGTCAACGCCGCAAGCTCCGGCCCGGACGTTGTACAATGTTGCTGAGATGTTCGTTTTCAGTTACGGCGTTGTCGTCTTCTGGAACTTCACCGAGCGACAGGAGAAAGACTTGCTAGCAGATTTGGCTTTTGCTACATCATCTGCAACTGGTATCCCTACTCCTCTGGCGACGATGCCTCTTGACGAGGAAGACTTTGAGACAGAGGAGTTCCATTTCGAGTATTCGACTGCGATCTCACGCCCACGAGTCTACAACGATATGATCACTCTTCGCAGTGGTGACCATATGATCAAGCTCGCTATTAGCCATGGTATTTCACAGAGCACCAAACTGTGCTTCTTCGAGGAAGTCATGGCCCGTCAGATGGCAGAGGCTAAAGACGTTCCCAGACGTCTTGCCGTTACAGGCCAACTGGGTATGAAGCGAGAAGAAGTCTTCCGGATCTTGGGTCGACTTTTCAAGAGTCGTGTTGAGGTCAACCTTTGTAAGTCCGCAGTCCCCTATATCGGCCATTATGTGGGCCTGGCCGCGGAGAAGATACTTTATTCCATACTAACATTTCCCACTAGCATCTAATATGCTCGACGTCCCGAACTTCTTCTGGGAGAGCGAGCCAACCCTTTACCCACTCTACATCGCCGTGCGTGAGTATTTGGAGATCAAACCACGTATCCAGGTTCTCAACGAGAGATGTCGCGTATTCCTCGATCTCGCAGAAATCTTGTCCGACTCGATTGCCGACAACCGCACTTCCCGTATGTCTTGACCTTCTCTTCGCTCCCTAGCTTCTCCCAGCTAACCCCATTCTAGACCAAACCTGGATCATCATCGTCCTCATCATTATTTCAATCATCGTTACAATCTCCGAAGTCTTCCTCCGCTTCGGCCTTCTCCATGCAAGCCAGGGTCCCGCTGGTACACCTGCCAATATCTTAGCCCGTGTCATGGGCCGATCTGTCACCCCTTCTCCATCCCCAGACTGGTACCCATACTCTGCCGCCAACGCGCCACCAGGCTGCATCTGTCCATCTCTTGGCCCTGCGGGCACTGGTTCGGATATGGGAGTCAGTGGAATGATGGGATATTAATTTCATTTGAGTTTCTAAAAGCTGGATACCATGGCGCAACTGGTGTTATGGCGGGGGTCACTGGACACAATTTCTTTTCGGTTGCATATTACTTCAAAACTGACAGATTCTAATACGTGTTGATTATTTAAAATGGTTCCTCTCCCTGCTTTAGAAACACTACACTTCACATATCCAAGCTTAACACACTACTTCAACTGCCTACGTAAGATATGCAGCCCCCCTGTGTGAATTTGGCCGAGGGAACAATATAACGAATTTTGTCGACAGGATACTTCTTAGACTGGGACTCCGTTGTTACTAGGAATGATTGGTGGGGAAATGCTAGGTGCAGAGTATTGCGAGGTTTGAGAGAATGTTTGGAAGTGGACAAAGAGCAGGGTGGACTACTATGATTTTATAGAGTACTTTGATACTGGAAGAAGACAAGTAGAAGATGAATCCAAAATCCCCGTTAAGACGGACAGAGCCGAACCATGCTAAATATGAAACAGAGGCAGTAGATATCAGTACAAAAGGGCCGGGATTCTAAAGAGAAACCCAGGCCCGGTTTCTCTCCCCAACATTCGTTTTATCGTATATCTTTCAAAATTTCCTTTTTTCTAGGTGATTCTAAATTTAACCGGTAACCTTGAAGATGGACTCGGCGAGTCTCTCGACGTTGGCGGAGGTGATACCGGCGACGGAGATACGGCCGTCCTTGGTGGCGTAGACGGAGTGCTAGAGAAGTTGTTAGGAACCAGACTGGAGAAAGTATGCGAATATAAAACTTACCTCCTTGGCGAGGGAGTCCATCTGCTCGGGCTTGAGGCCAGTGTAGGCGAACATGCCGATCTGGATATCACGTCAGTCATTTGTATCATAGATAAGCAAGTGTTTAGATCTCACCTGGCTGGTGATGTGGGACCAGTCGTGCTTGCTGCCGAGCTTCTCGAGGTTGGTGCGGAGGAGAGAGCGCATCTCGATGATGCGGCTAGCCATGCCCTCGACCTCACCGAGCCACTGCTTGTTAAGAGCAGGGTCGTTCATGATGGTGGAGGCGATGCGGGCACCGTGGATGGGAGGGTTGGAGTAGAAGGGACGGATGAGGATCTTGACCTGCGAATCGACACGCTTCTTCTCCTCGGCGTTCTCGCAAACGAGGGAGAAAGCACCGACACGCTCGCCGTAGAGACCCATGTTCTTGGCGAAACTCTGGCAAAGAGCGATGTTGTGGCCCTCCTTGACGAAGTGGCGGGGAGCAAAGGCATCCTGGTCGGCGTTACCGCTGGCAAAGCCCTGGTAGGCCATGTCGAAGAAGGCGAAGTGGCCCTTCTGCTTCATGACATCGCTGATCTGGCGCCACTGGGCCTGGGTAGGGTCGACACCGGTGGGGTTGTGAGCACAAGCGTGGAGCAGGATGATGCTGCCCTCGGGGGCGGCCTTGATGTCGGCAATCAGACCCTCGAAGTCGAGGCCAATGGTGTCCTTGTTGTAGTAGCTGTACTGAGCGACCTCGAGACCGGAGTCGGAGAATACGGCCTTGTGGTTAGCCCAGCTGGGGTTGGGGAGGTAGATCTTCTTCGCGCCGGGGTAGAACTGCTTGAGGAAAGCACCACCAATGCGCAGAGCACCGGTGCCGGAGATGGTCTGGGTGATGACGAGGCGGTTGTCCTTGATGGCAGAGGAATCGGCACCGTAAGCGAGCTCGGCGGCAGCGGTGGTGAAGGCAGGAATACCGGTAATGCCAGCGTACTCCTTGTCCAAGCGAGATGCGACGACCTTGTCCTCAGCGGCGCGGACGGAGGGTAGAACGTAAGGCTTGCCCTTGTCGTCACCTGAAAGAGAGCGGGGATGGCTCGTTAGCAATCCAATTTCCAATCGATTGCGCATCACGGCGATTGTTTGGGGCGAGGCTTACGGTAGGCACCAACACCCAGGTTGATCTTCTCCTTGAAGGAGTCGGCCTTGAAAGCTTCGGTGATACCAAGAATGGCGTCCTATTAACCGAGCTACGTTAGAATTGGCCTTCTAAACCACCATTACGATGATTGCAAGCTCATCGATGAAGCTTACAGGAGGACCCTGGGGAACATTGGCCCAGGCCGAGGCGTGTCTAGCTCCGATCACAACGGTGCGCATGTTGGCCTCGCGGGAGGCAGCCGACCGGCTGGCGACTCTGAGAGTGGAGAGCATAATGGCAGAGATGAAGAAAAATTGAAAGGACAAGACCTAGATCTCTTATATTTGGGATTGGAAGGGGAAAGGAAAAAATCGGAGGAAAGGAAGAATATAAAGGTTCGGAGACGTAGTCCCGATGTTTTTACCCTGACTCATGTGATAGTGGTACCCGGTACCTGGCAGTTGGCATGTTATTCCGCTTCGGCTGAGGTACCAGGTACAACTAACCCCGGGGAGATGTGCGCATGGGATTGGCTGCATCTTCCGGATGAATTGCAGGGATCAATTGCTGTTTACTCTGATTTTACGGGGATTTAGGTACTTTATTTAGTTACTGGTGATGGTGAATTGTGATATTTTGGGTATAGAATTTGAATTCCCTGTGGAATGTCAAAATGAGACACCAAAATATACCATTTAATTACATACATCGTGTATTGTCTATAGTGTCTATAGTGTCTATAGTGTCTATATCGTCTATAGCGTCTATATAACATCTGATGTACTTATACATCAGCCCATCTCCAAATGTGTTGTCTCGGGAAGTCGAACCTCCGGTGAACTGATTGAGGTCAACCTCCACACCGTTTCCCCTCACAGCAGTTGGAGTAAGGGAATTCTTCCATTTCCCCGTGTCTGACACCTTGATTCTTACATCCCCACAGGACTCGGGTAAATATGTACGTCTCCTAAATATGCACTAAATATGCACTAAATATGCACTAAATATGTACGAAGTGCATATTTCACATATTTATTACATATTGAAATTGTTAACGTTTTCTCAAGACATCGAAACGCTGCCTGAGGCTTAAATATAATTACGGAGCTTTGGAACCTTCGGACTTCTGGGATAGACTTTGGATATCGTAAAATTGGTATTTGGCTACAAATAGAAAAAGAAAAAGAAAAAAGTATCAGCCCAGGCGAACACCAGCTTGGCGATTCTTGCGCGCAGCAGTGCCCACAGCAGTGTTCATGCCGGTGTTCTGACTGCTGTCTAGTGTGCTCATAGACTCGCGCTTCTTTTCTTCATCGATCTTCTTCAGACGTTTCTCGGTCTTCATCTTTCCACTGCCCTTGCCGTGGAACTGGTGACTGAGTTGCTTGAAGGCTTCCTTTTGGTTCATGTTGCGACCGAACTCGTCAACGTACCGCAGCTGGACGTCGGGCTTGTATTCGCGGTTGAACACGTCGGCCATATGGCGCGCCTCCTGCTGGTCACGTTGCTTGTTCTCCCAGCGCGCGTGCTCCTCACGCTCACGGGCTGACATGCGCTCAAGCTTGCCGGAGGCACGGTCCCGTTCACGCTGCTGCCGGGCGCGTCGCTCGATTTCGGTCTCGCGGTTCACCTTGTCGGCCAAGAAGCGCTGGCGATCGCGCATGAGTGTGTTTTGGCTGGTGCTGTCGTTGTCTTTGACCAGGCCGCGTGATTTCAACATTGATAGGGTAGCAGCAAGACCTTGGTCCAAAGTTGATTCCTCTTCTAGACCTGTGCCGGTGAGTTGTTGTGGCTCGGACGCAGGTGCTTCATCGCGCTTGATGCGTGCGGCAAGCTCCTCTTCGTCTTCAATATCGCCGTAGCGGTCCATATCAATCTCCACGCCCTCTCCTTCGGGCTCGGCGCGGGGACTTTTCGGCTCCTTGGCCGCAACTGTGGCATGTTTTTCTTCCTGCTCGAGGAGTGTAGGCTTGTGTAGATTTGACACAAACTCTGATGTTTCGTCGATAACAAGGCCAGGCTCCTCGCCTTCATTATCCGAATTTTCAATCTCCATTGGGGTCTGAGTCTCCTCTTCTCGAAGCTGCTTGGCAAGCTCCTCGGGGCTGATCTTCTTGCGCTTCTTGAAGGCTGCGCGTCGTTGCAACGCAAGAGAGGCTTGAAGGTCATCATCATCCACGAAAGAAACATCTTCATTGACAGGCTTGCGGGGAGCAGGGACTGGGACTCCGCCCTTCGAATCAATATCCATAGCCGAGGATCCTTGCGCATCGGTCGAATCTGTAACCGGGGCAATCTCGTCGTCGTCCATGAAAGTCCTCTGTTTTGTAGCTTTAGCCTTCTTCTTTTTAGGCTTCTTAATTTTGACCTCGCTGATGTCCATATAATCGGAGGACGGCACTTCGGGCTCAAGGTCGAGGCTGATAACATTCTTCCGCAACTGGTTTGAAACCTCCTGTCGCTTTGCTTCGCGTTCCTCGGTCGAGCCTTGGGCGTCGAGTGTAAATCTCTTCCTTTTTTTGCCTTCGATCTCCTCGTCGTATTGTGAAAGGATGCCCTGGTTCTCCGCTGTAGGATCATAGACGGGCTTTTTCTTCTTGAGCTCCAGTTTCTCTTCGGTTCTTTCCTTCTCGACCAGATCGAGGTTTTGGAGCTCATCGTCCTCTTCCTCGTCGTCGACCGCAGCGTCCTTCAGCGTCAGGATGTGATCTTCACCGCCATCAAAAGCACCTGCAGCGTGTCCGACCTTGATACCAGCCAGATCTGCTGCAGTGTACTCGGTTTCCGCAAGGCGCTCCCGCTCTTCGAGTTCCTCCGCCAGTCTCTGGGCGCGTTCCTTCTCGATCTTCTTTTGGCGTTTTTTGGTTTGCGACAGCCAGGCTTTGGTATCAAGTTCGTCGCCATTCCCCTCGCCTAGTGTGGATCCTTGGAGTTGCAGATTCCTCTGGGCGATATCACGCGCCCGCTTGATGGCGGCATTTTTTTCGTCTCGTTTCCGTTTCGCTTCGGCGGTGTCCTGAATTTTCTTCCAGTTGTCGTAACTTTCCGCCTGTCGTGACTCGAGAGTACTGGCTGGGTCTTCTTCTTCGCCGGACTCGCTGTCGTCGTCTTCTCTGAATTCTGGGCCGGCACCGGGAACTGGGAGTGGCTTGAGGCCAAGAGCCACTCGAATCTTGTTGTTTTGCTCGATGGATAGAGCGTCCGCCATTTTGACGGTGTATGGAGGAGGAGGGGAAGAGATGGAAAGGTAATGGCCTTCAGCGCAACGCCGCCTGGTTTCCTGATAACCGCAATCGGATCACGTGATATAACCAACACGCACTATCCCTATATAGGCCTAGTGTTATAAAATCTTAGCGGCCCCACTTGTGACATAAATAAGAGCCTTCCCTCTTTTTCCTTCCTCTTTTTCTTCTTTACCAAAACCGGATCTGTGTCCAGATTTCCTGTCCACGGACTCCAGTCTGACTGGTTTCTGTGTGATGGTTGAGAGCTGGGCATTTCGACGAGCTTGGAGCCATCATTTTTTGTGGATGGCCTTTACGGTTTCCGGTCGACAGATCTCAGAATAATTGTTCGCGCCTTGTGACGCGGGTCTTGAGCTCCCACTGGTGAGCTCGGCTTGATAGCTTGGTGTCGGATGGCGTCATATTTCATATCTCTTTGCCGATTGGCCGTTGGCCGCTGAGGTTAGGGAATAACCATGACTTGCCAACATCTCTTACATAGAACTCGTATGTTGTAAAAATCCTAGATTGAAAAAAGTCTCCGCTTTGCGGGACTAGGTTGTCTAGGAAACATGCTACACGTATTGTGTCTATGCGCGTTTATGACGGATGCGTCGCCGCGTGTCGCGTACTGGACGAGATCGATTCAGCAACGCTGGGGAGCTCTTCGTCGAGGTCATGATCATTATTGCCTATCTAGTTCAAGAAAGCACATCTATAATGTGTGTAATTTACAACAGCTTCAAGTGTCCCGTCACGCCGTCAACCACGCTCTTGGGGCCCAAGACTCCCAGCACGGTCTTGCTGCCACTTGCGATTTGAGTGCGCCCAGCATCCTGGATAACGCGCGTGCAAAGCCCAAGGCTAATAGCCTGAGCCTGCATGACGAGCAGTTCATCCTCGGACCTGACCTGCAATGCGATCTTGGCCTGGCCACCGCGCTCCCATTTCTTGAGGATGGGCGAGTTGGGCGCGTATTCGAGGAAGTATTTGTAGCAGGCGAGGGTAGCGTGACCGCATTGGGCGGCGATTTTGCCTAGAAGAAAGAGATTGTAAGCGCTTGCAACACAAATGTGAAGAATGATTGAAACGTTGGTAGAGCACATACCTTTGGTCATGCCTAGGTCCATGCGAACGACTAGCACCAGCTTCACCTCCTCGTTGTTGTCCTTGAAGCTCGACAGTTCTTCGCCGTTGCCCTCATCTTCCTCGTCGGTCTCTTCTTCGGAGTCTGATTCGTCCTCCTCGTCAGAGGAGTGGCTATGGACCTTCACATCGTAGCTGTTCGGCCACCCTTCCTTTTCTTTGAAGAGGCTGATCGAGGAGCCTTGGCCGATGAAATATCCGGTCACACCCGCAATGATCGCTGTTGCGATCACATAGGCGGCCGTCGTAGGGGGTATGCGGTCTAGCGGTACTGGGGCGGCCATTTTGAGTTGGTTGGTTGGTGGTTGGAGGATCGAAGCCTCGCGAAATAAAAATTTGAGGGAAGCTCGACCGCCCGGGATATCTTCACGTTTTGTTCCACTGCGCTCACTCTGGGCTCACATTTTTTCTTCTTCTTGAGATTGATGAATTTCAGATGAAACACATTCTTAGAGACTCACTGTCTCTTTGGGTATTATATAATTGAATGTTGCCAGTGGTGTGGCTAAGCCTTTAGCTGATTAGCCGAAGGATCAAGTTGGAGTACATTGAACAACTTAGAATCAACTTTATACCACAGTCATTCATAAAAACCAAAATCTAGCCCAGAAATGTATAGATTACTTCCAACCCTACTAAATATGACCGAGATATGCTGAAAGCCGCTAAGGGCCGGCTTTGGGATGACATTACCGCACGCTTTTGTTTTGGACTTGATGGTCGTGACCTCAAGTAAAAACTTGGCTGTGATTCAAGTAGAATATTCGCTCCATCCCCGTCTGCAGTTCGTCTGCCCCCCCAACTTCTCCATCTCGGGAATTGGAGTAAACTGGGGTATGTGCATCGAAGCCTCAATTCTCGTTCTTTTACTTAGTGTTCCAGTTCTCATTACCACCCAAGTACCGGAACACGATTCGTGAGTCCAAGTCCTTACGTCGTTCATCCTCACTAGCTTCTTTGTATTCCTGCAAGCCCACACTCCCCGGCACATTAGTCGATCCCACGCGACGGGCCATGTCCAAAGCCAACGAAATATCCTTCTTTATGAGCTGGGCCTTGAAGCCCTTCTGATAACCGCTCGAGGACGGCGCACTGGGATAAACCCCGGATACCGGGTTAAAAGTGTCGCAAATGGTTCTTCAGCATTGCCAGCCGCATAACTGGGCCAGGACTCGTGGGTCTAGTCCGGACTCCATTCCCATGGTCATGGCCTCCGAGCAGGCAATCGCAATGATACCAGAAAGATAGTTGTTGAAAAGTTTAGCTGCCATTCCGAGAGATAGACCACCGCATGAGATGAGTTTGTCACCCATTAGGTTGAACAATTGCCTGAGCTCTTGGATAACCTTTGGCGTTGTCTTCGGCACAACCCACGAAGAATGCAATTGTTCCTCACTCTGTTCCGATAACACCACCACTCACCGGGGCATCGTAGAATGAAGCACAAAGACTTGCGGTTAGCTATAGGAGAATCGTGCCGCAACTCCTGCTTTACTCTCTGCGAACCGATTATGCTGTGTGGGGACAAATCCGGGGTAGACCCACGGAACCGACGACACTTCAAAATACGTTGAGATGTTAGTTCATCTCTCCTTGCATCTTCAATTTCAATTCCCGGCAAATGTGACACTTCAATGCTTTCATTATGAACACCCAGAAGCATAGTGGAGATACATATACTGACCTCGCCAAGTGACTGAGCACGAGGCAAGGCAAATAGTGTACAGCCTTTTGTTATGAACGTTACTAGGATATTTTCATGGTCACCAAGGATCCAGACTGGTGGGTCAAGATGATAACTTTGGAATTAGCAAACGCGTCGAGAGAGCCAGGACAGTTCTGCGAACTATCAATGGAGCACCGGACATTATTGCACCCGAAATTATGGAGCAAATGTCGACGCCGATGATGAGTTCGGTTACACCTTTACACTGGATCTTTGGTTTGGTGTAACAACTTTCTATATCCTGACTACAAAGTTGCGCTTTCTAAGAACCAACGACTTCTTGAGATATGGGCGGGGCGGATTCATCCCAACGACCGTATTTCTAAGCCAAAATTGGACCTGCTAGCCAGCAGCTTCCTTAAAACGCTTGCTGGTAGCAGAAGCTTTGCGCTAGCTTGGATGCGAGGACAACCTCCTGTAAACCGACCAGCTCGGTCTGAGGTGCGACATAGTTTGGAATCCTATCTCCAGGTTGACTTTCGGCGACTACAACCTACTTACGTACGACCTCTAATATTATGACACGAGAGTGGGACATATTGTTTGAAAAAGAATAACGCTCTGGATACGGAGGTAGAGGTAGCAAAGTTGACATCAAAGAGCTACTAATGCATTTGGCGAATCTGTTACAAAATCCCACTAACTAGGATACGTTGATTAAAAAGGTAGCTGGGAAAAAGCCAAAGATCGAAGAGGCTCCATCCCCGACAGATGTCTGCCCAACAAAGAACACAAACCAACCCAAGTAGTATATTGGACGCGTCACAATACCCTACCACTGATTATATACAACCCATAACACCAAAATAGACCAAAGGAGGCTATTTAGTTTGCGCTACCAGCGGGGGCGGCAGCACGAGGGACGTTTCCGGTAGGACCCGCGCGACGGCTCCTAATTCCGATGTTAGACCAATATCAAACGACAAGCACATATCAATTCCAACTTACATCATGGTACGGCTGAAGAAACTGATACCAATCATGAACAGCCAGCTGGGGACAGCACCGAGAGCCCAGATAACGTAGCCCATGGGGATGTTGAGCTGGTACTTAGCGACCCAGCCGTCAACGGGGTGCAGAGCGCCCTCGTAGACGGGGACCTTCTCGTAGGTCTTCTTGGCGTGGATCTCGTAGATGGTCTCTGGGGTGACAGTGGTGGAGTTCAGGTAGACGTTGCGAAGAGGAGTTGGGGCACGTTCCTCGCCAACAGACGGCTCCTTGGGGATCTGGTAGTACTGGACGGAGGGAGCGCTGGCGGACCAGGCGGCGCACAGGACCTGGTTGGCCTCGCAGTCCAAGTATCCGAGTTGAGGTGAGGTGGGGTCGGCGGAGAACAACAGAACAGATTCCTGGGAATTACAAGGACGATGTTAGGATTTTGGGACTTGGCGAAAAGACGCGTCGGGGGCGAAACATCATCTTACCTTGAATGCCTTATCGGCAGTTCCGCAGCGACCGAAGCAGGTCTTGTTACCACCAGTGGTGTAAATCAACCAGTCCTCGGCCTTAGGTCCCGGGGAAAGGATGGACTGCCAGTTGTCCAGAGACACGTTGGTGACACTCTTCTCGGTAACCTTCTCGGCCAGCTTCTCGATCGGGGCAGCAACGGGGGCTGCTGTGGGCACGTAGGACTTGACCTGGTTGAACCATCCCTGCACACGGTCGACGAGGGGGACCTGCTCCTGGGCCATGGCCAGGGCAGGGAGGAGGGTAACGAGCGAGGTGAAACGCATCTTGATGGCTGTGGCGCGGAACAAGTTAGTGAGACAGGTTTCGGGAATGATAGATCACGTTTAATACGAGATGAAATTATATCAAAACACTTACCAATGACTGAAAGGCGGATAAAAATTGACACAGTCAGAGACAAGAGGAAGAATGGTGTTCAGAGGGAGATAGTTGGAACGACAGCTGGCCTGAGCGCTGGCCAACCACAACCCTTTAATTTACTCCCGCACCTCCTTTCTCTGCACCAATGGCGCGATCCCTATGCATTTAGTTCAGAGAATGTTCTAGACTGATTCCAGATCTCTTCTCATGTTTTCCTTATATTGCAATCGATTAGGTCTTTTCAGTGCTAATCATTTCGGACCGTGTGGATTCTGACCTGCATAGAAGCTCCCGTCCCCACAACTTAGGTGCCGAATGTCAACAATTGACCATCTATACTGAAGGATCGAGTTCTGCCATCGGGGTCTCTTGGATGCTAAACGGTACTCATTATCAGAATACATTGATGCTTACTGTTACATATTCTTCAACCTACTTGTACTTGAATGGTGTAGATGGAGGATCTATAATGTATGTGTTGGATCGGTTCTTGCGAATGAGACACTGCGTAAGTATGAAATTGGTATTGTGAAAGCATCGGATTTGCCTAGTGGAAGAAAACTAAAAGCATCCCTGATAGACTAAAGTGCAATCATTCGATATAGCATCATGTAGATTGTATCCAGTAAGATACACAAGTGATATTAATCTACAACGGCAGCGCTAATCTTGCATCCGTGGGTTATCAAGGTTCTTATCGAGTCGGGGGAACCATTTAGGGTTAGCGTTGAAACAGTCATGGTCAAATTATACATATAGGTAGAGCTATAACGTCATTACAAGGACCGGGTGGTGATATCGGAGGGTTGGAAAAAAGTAAACACTTTTTCATTTAGCGATCTTTGATTAACCAATACAAGAATTGAAGGAAATCTAACGGCAGTTTGAGGTACAAGTGCCCTAGCTTACTGAGCTAGTGGTGGTTAAAGAATGAAAGTATATGCAGACCTTACAAAATTCCGAATTCAAGCCATCTATGAACTGGTTAATATGAAACAAAACACGTTTGCATACAAGTGCCTTGAGGAGTTAGTAAACTAGTAATTTGATATCCAAATTTGTGTTACCTGCTGTGTGGTTATAGTACCGATGTAAATGGTACATGGCCGCCTGCTCAATGATAGGCGAGTCTTATATACACACAGGTATGTATGGAGTAGGTAGTGAGTCTATTTAGATCTGTTCCAGCCCTGGAGGGTTGCAAACAATGCTTAGTGAGCATGTCCTTGTAACTTAGACCCCGAGGTCGGGAAGAAGCTTAATAATAGAAAAAGCCGGGCCCCCGGGCCAATGACCTCGGGATAGCCTGTTATATACACGGTTATTTAAACATGCAAACTTTGAGCGATTCTTGTAACATATGCTGGGATTTCCGCAGCATGTTAACTTGTGCGTGAGTATACATTATAACTTGAGATCTATTGCAGATCATTTCCCAGCCTTGTCTTGAGCCAACTAGAAGACCGGAAATGATGATGACATCACTACCCCCGTTCAGATAGGAGTTTGAGTGGATAGGAACCTTGGAATAACGAAATGTTAGGGTCCTCCATTTGAAGATAAAGATAACATAATTGTTATAGAACAACCTTGGAACCCTACACAACATATGTCTGTAGACATATCATTATCAGTTGAAGTTGAGGTGGAATAATGAGTCAGACCCCACAGGTAAGGTCCGATGTCGGTTCTAAGGCATTTGGAGTAAATCGTACACACGCATGTTATTTTTCAATCAAAAATTTCGGGAAAGAGTGAAATTGGAAGTGATGGACATTTGAGTCATAGTGCAAATAATGTAACTACACAAAAGTACATTGTAATATAGAATATGGCAGGATATTTGATCCTATCATACTCCTCTAAAATGTACTTCCCCCACCTCTCCACAATCAAAATTTTCTTTTTTGCCGCCCAGCGAGGGGCGCGGCGCCCATTACTCAGATTCACCGCCCACTACTTCGGCGCTATGAATTTATGACTCTTCCCTCTCTTTTTTTCAAAGGTTTCTTTACTCCAAAGATCTTTAAGTACCGCTCGATTTTCTTTTTTATTCCTACTTCGAAGTAAACTTAACTTCCGGGCTTCATATTTTCTCAATCTCGACTCTACATACTCAACCCCCACCATCTGCACCATGTGTACCGGTGCCGACCCCGAGCCCAATGGGCAAGCTAATGGTGCTACTGGCACTATTGCTCCCAGTATGTCAATTGAAAGCTAATATACTAGAATTACTCACTGACATCTATTTAGACGGCGATCACGCTGGTTTCGTTGGCATTGAAACTCGCCAGAATCCCCACCCCTCCGCATCCCGCAACCCCTACGGCCACGACGCTGGCGTCACCGATTTCCTTAGCAATGTCTCACGCTTCAAGATTATTGAGTCTACCTTGCGTGAGGGAGAGCAGTTTGCCAACGCTTTCTTCGACACCGCCAAGAAGATCGAGATTGCCAAGGCTCTCGATGACTTCGGTGTGGACTACGTGAGTCGCCGTACAGACGAAGAGTTCATATTCATAAACAAAGGCTAACGGTGGTCACGCTATAGATCGAACTCACCAGTCCCTGCGCTTCTGAGCAGTCCCGCGCGGATTGCGAGGCCATTTGCAAGCTTGGCTTGAAGGCTAAGGTACGTTACGGGTTTGCTCGGGTCTCGTGACTATCTGTATCTAATAACCTTTTTAGATTCTCACTCACATTCGCTGCCACATGGATGATGCCCGTATTGCTGTGGAAACCGGTGTTGATGGAGTGTGAGTCTTTTTATCTTGTCCTTACTTTGTTGACTTAGAACTGACTTTCTATAGCGATGTTGTTATTGGTACTTCCTCTTACCTCCGTGAGCACTCCCACGGCAAGGATATGACCTACATCAAGAACGCCGCCATTGAAGTTATCGAGTTCGTCAAGTCTAAGGGCATTGAGATCCGTTTCTCCAGTGAGGACTCTTTCCGTTCCGACCTGGTTGACCTTCTGTCAATCTACTCCGCTGTGGACAAGGTTGGTGTGAACCGTGTCGGTATTGCCGACACCGTTGGCTGTGCCTCCCCCCGCCAGGTCTACGAGCTCGTCCGTGTTCTGCGCGGTGTTGTTGGCTGTGACATCGAGACTCACTTCCACAACGACACTGGCTGTGCTATTGCCAATGCCTTCTGTGCCCTCGAGGCCGGTGCCACTCACATTGATACCTCCGTTCTTGGTATCGGCGAGCGTAACGGTATCACCCCTCTCGGTGGCCTGATGGCCCGCATGATGGTCGCCGACCGCGACTACGTCAAGGGCAAGTACAAGCTCGAGAAGCTCAAGGAGATTGAGGACCTCGTAGCCGAGGCCGTTGAGGTCAACATTCCTTTCAACAACTACATTACCGGATTCTGCGCCTTCACTCACAAGGCCGGTATCCACGCCAAGGCTATCCTCAACAACCCCAGCACCTACGAGATTATCAACCCCGCCGACTTCGGCATGTCCCGCTACGTCCACTTCGCCTCCCGTCTGACCGGCTGGAACGCCATCAAGTCGCGTGCCCAGCAGCTCAAGCTTGAGATGACTGACGCTCAATACAAGGAGTGCACTGCCAAGATCAAGGCCATGGCTGATATCCGTCCCATTGCCGTCGATGATGCCGACAGCATTATCCGTGCCTACCACCGCAACCTGAAGTCCGGCGAGAACAAGCCCCTTCTTGACCTGACTGCCGAGGAGCAGGCCGCATTTGCCGCCAAGGAGAAGGAGCTCCTTGAGGCTCAGGCTGCCGGTCTTGTGGTATAGGCGATTTCCTTTCACCGATACATATATTGTATAATGCTATCTCACAAGTGGCTTGTGCAAAGACGTGGCAGATACCTGACGATTTGATGCTTTTTCATTTGTTTTGACATTTTTTCCATACCATACAAGGGTTTGAAAAGTCTTCCTCTTTTTCTTTTTTTTTCCCCCCCTTTTGGGAGAGCCAATAACACATTCGTGTTAGGAGAAGAGGGTTCTCCTTTATTTGTACATATAGCGCAGAAGAGGTAGTAACTCATTCTTAACTTCAGACTGTTGTGCCTTTATATAGTAGCAGTAGTAGTAGTTGCCTAGGTGTACCTTAGTCTGGACTAATTACGTCAGTGGAGAAAGACCAGAACCTAAGTCTGAACGGTCAATCTAGAAACTTGTGAAGATATTACTATAGCACCCAACGAGCACCATTCCAAGCCGATCAACACCCAATTCCTATATGATACAGCAGTCCCACCACCGTATCCGAAACGTGGAGCGCCTGCTTCATGTGGGAGCCGAGGCCCGCTAGACTCAACCAGTCAAAAAGTACCACTTGAGTGAAACCTCCCCATCGCCACTCCCACCCATCATTATTGCATGACTATTCCTTGGGGGAACAATGAGCTCTTCAATGCTGCCAGTTGCCCTGCAGAACAAGCTGATCGGCTACGGTCGGGTGTCCAGCGCGCATCTATCTGCCGCGAACCTTGACATGTAAGTTGAGTAATCCCCAGGTTCGGTTCCCCGCGGAATCGAGGCCAGAACAAAAGACAAAAGGCAATCACCACTGACACATTTTGCTCGCAATCTAGTCTTCGTAACATCGTGTTTATCCTATTCATCCTTCGGTATACGCGCAAGACCTTCTACTCCATCCGCGGCTACGGTATCATCGGTAGCATCCGCAACATCTACATCTCACTCCGCCTGTTCTGCTACGGCATCTTCTTGCGCGTCCCTGGTGTCCGTGGCCAAGTCGATAAGCAGGTGAGCACTGCTATCACGAAACTTGAGTCGACGCTGGTCAACTCCGGGCCGGATGTCACACGGTACCTCACGCTCCCTAAGGAGGGTTGGTCGCCGGAACGGGTCCGCGCTGAACTTGATAAGTTGGCTGGACTTGAACATACACGCTGGGAAGATGGTCGCGTCAGCGGCGCCGTTTATCACGGAGGTGCGGATCTGTTGAAACTGCAGGCTGAGGCCTTTGGACAGTTTGGTGTCGCGAACCCGATCCATCCGGATGTTTTCCCTGGTGTTCGGAAGATGGAGGCTGAGGTGGTTGCTATGGTATGCATCAT